CAGCCGCTGCACTATCAGGGCGCGAGCAGCGTAGCCGTGGAGCGGCAGAGCCAGCCGTTGCCCCATCCATGGCATGACGATGCCTATCCGTCGAGGTGGCGGAGCCAGCGGCGGCCGCGTACAGGGTGCGACGCCCCCGGTGCCGTCGAGACCGTTGAGCCGCGGACCAAGCATCGTCGATGCCGCCGATTCTTCTCGAAGGGTTCCTCTGCTGCTTGCCTCGCGTTGCATTGGTTTGCTGCTTGCTTTGCCTTGCTGTGTCTTCAGTTTCAGTTGTGCAGGAACTGTAATTTTAGTTGTGCAGACAGCAGAGAAGCAGCAATAACAGAGAAACAACAACAACGGAAAGCAACAACAGTAGGAGAAATGCCAGATTGAGCTAGTAACTGATGTGAACTGGTTGTACACTTCAGTGAATAGTGTGACTGAATGTTGTATCCAGATTGTAATCATGTAATTTGAGAGTGGAGTTGAGTGAATTTGAGTGTGATTATTGTTACAAAATATTGAATGTGAATCACTGACGTTCTTTGTACCGTAACTATTGTTCTGTTGGGATCTAAGACTGTCAATTTGAGAGCATAATACTGGTGCTGCTAATTAAAGAGGATAGCATGTGTTGACAATTTGAGAGCATGTCCTTCCAGGAATACAAAGTCATAATGCTTGCTTTGGTTGCCGAATGTACAATGAGCATGCATACATAAATTGGAGTATTATCTTTGAAATGCATGGCAAAAGGGTTTGAGATACATAAATTGGAGTATTATCTCAGAACCTAGAACTGAACTGAATGGCCAAAAGGGATTGAGCAACTGTAACCTAGAACTGAACTGAATGCCCAAATCTGCCAAAACCATGCTTGCTTGTGCTCTAATTCAAGTACAGAGCACATGATTGCCCAAAAACAGTAGTGCTTCACCACGACCCAGTAAATAGATCATCTGTGATTGGTCCCTGGAAATTAAATATAAGTAAGTTGTTATTGAAATACAAAATCATATTCGGACTAATAGTACTCGAAAAAGATTTCTGTAAGAGAATAAGCAAAGAGTAGCGGTAATTGGGATAAGAATAAAATCAAGTAAAATCAGTGTACTTGAGATAAGAAAAATACTTGTTAGAATTGAAATCATGATGCACTGTATCAGCCTCTTCTCTTTCTGTTGCATCTTCCATTAGAAGGAATGCTTGATCAGAGTTCAGCAGGTTGCTTTTTTCATCAGAAAAAGGAATGCCTGATCCGAGTTCAGCAGGCTACTTCTTCGATGAGAAAAAGGGGAATTTGATCAAGTTCTAAATCAATCTGATGGTGAAAGTTTAATCAATTCCAGTGTTTTATTCACGCAGGCTACTTCTTCCATCACAAAGGACTAGGAGCAGAGCACTCGTCCCTGCTGAGCGCCAGGGATCTCCTTCCGATCAATTTTGGCGCCGTTTCTGTGGCCTCTCGCGCCTTTTTCCCTCGCTTCCTTCGCCTCTCTCTCTAGCTAGCGTTGGACTGGGCCGATGGGCCGCTTATTTTTGTTTCCACCCGAGCGAGAAAGCTAGCGAAGGCTGTAATTCATGCGAGTATCGTTGAATGCCTGATGAACGGTGCAGCGTCAACGACGTCCCTTGGCAGTAGAACTTCCTACGTCAGAGGATCTCGTTCCTACGATAGCCGGTGCGAGTTTGATGCTGAGCTGGATTCGGCTATGAGTGGAGCAGCATCCAACAGGTGGTGGTGCTAAAACGACAGCGACATGGGCAGGGCGTGTTACAACATCGACGACGAGCTGCAGATAGAGAGGTGGCGAGCTGCAATCCACGGTCATGGCGGCGGCCGTGGAGGACGCAGGGGCCCGGGGGACAGCGACCACGCATGCGGGTGTGTGAGCGGTGTTTTGCGCTTACGTCACTAGTCATTTAGGGGGGAATTAAGAACTAATCCCACGGCTGTCAGCTCCCAGATCCGACGGACGCGCGGTGACCGGCCGAATTTGGGCCGGTCGACCGGCCCCTATCGCTGCCCAAAAAACAAAGGAGGTTTGAGTGGATGCCTCAAATCCTATTAGTACAAAAAAATATTTAGAAAAAATTCCGACAGGATTAAATCCTAAGTATGAATCAAACAACCAATATAGGGGAAAATCCTAAGATTTCTAATCATACAAAAATCCTTTGAATCAAAGGAGCCCTAAATTCGATTCCATGACACGGCACCGCACACTGGAGTAGATCACATGAGTAACAGCATAATTCAAATAAAAGTATGAACAATTGAAACAGACACACATGCAAGCAAAGCAATTTATGATCTGAAGTTAATAGTGCGAAATAAGATCTCAATACAAGTGCAAGCACATCCAGCAACAAGGTACTGACAACGAAACAGTCTATCCATGTCCCTAGCTTAACAACCAACAGTTAAACAAGCTTCAGCCTCTTTTACGTACATTGCGTTGGAAAACAGTCCGTCTCCTCCCATCAAAAGCAAGAGTGCTGCACCTACAAGGCTTTTCTCTCTTCCGAAGATGAATCTTCCACAGGTGGGACTGCAAGGAACAAACCTGCAGAGGAGATCGAAATTCAGTACAACATACATCGAAGAATGATGTGCAAGGAGAAACCGCAATCAATATAAAGGTGAGCGTAATACAGATTCAAGCTGAATTACCTAGCTTACAACTGTGCTAACAATGTTTAGTAGCTACAGCAAGAACATCACATGAAAAGAGTCTAAATGGAAAAATATAACCACATATTTCATTCAATTGTCAACAATGAACAATCCCTACATCTTTCTCCATGCTTAAACACGTCCCTAAAGTTGAATAAGCATGTGATTCAACCCCATTCTCTGCCCTATCCCTATAGGATGATCTAGGTTTCTCCATAAAAATACCTCAACGCAAGATACACCAGGATTCACAAGGGAAAAACTAAACGTACAAAGACAAGCAAAACCAGAACAATGGGCACATGTGCCACACTCTATGACAGAATCATAAGGAATCATAGGGGTGAGCTCAACACAAATAGTACCTACCAACTAAGCCATCATCATTGCCGTTAGACAGAACATGGGTATCTAATAAAAAGTTTATAGATTAATCATGGCTTGGGGTTATGACGAACTCGAGCACCATTTGGATGCATCCAAAAAGGCACACGCCAATAATCAAATATGCACAACACAGCACGTATTAAATGCTTATGCATACAACACCTCCAGGAGTACATAATGATGTACTTTTGTGATAACACAGAAGACTCTTAAAAAACACTACAAAAGAAGAGTTCTCTGGCATTTACATTATCTTGTATCTTCTACATTTGAAAAAAATAATACTGCCAAATAAGAAATCAAATTTCCAACTTTACTTCAAGTGTCATACTTATGACTCAAGACAACGATCTAATACTACTTGAACTCCCAAGTATAAATGATCATAATAAAAGACCAAAGGATTCCACGTTGCCTGCCGCCTGCTTCCTGCTTCATACAAACGCATCTAACAATCTTCCTCAATACCTATGTATACGACGACAATCCAACATGACATCATTCACTAGAATTTTTGGGCGAATATTACTACACATATTAAACTTACATTACTCCCTCCGTTCCTAAATATAAGTCTTTTTAAAGATTCCAATATGGACTACATACGGAGCAAAATGAGTGAATCTACACTCTAAAATATGTCTATATACATCCGTATGTAGTTCATATTGAAATCACTAAAAAGACTTGTATTTAGGAACGGAGGGAGTACCGAATTTTACTTTGTGGTGCAGCAATTTTGTATGTTACACAGCTCCCATAGACCGTCCACTTGACAAAGATTCGATGGATAATTCATGGTATACAAGTTAGCCTTTTGACTTGTGGTATGTCATAGGTAATTCATGACTACATAACATGTGAACTGCAGATGGACTTCCATCTCATAATAGACTAGAGGAGGAAATGGAACTGATTTAGAATGAAGAGAACTTTTGTACATACATAGGTAGAACAAATCTCCACTCCTATAAAAGACCCGGATGGTGATGATGGTGTGTGTTTGCCATCCATCATTTCTGAC